GGACAACACGTGCGAGGCTTTACTTTCACAGTATACACGTCCTGTCCATGGCATGCGACAATCCACTTGCCGCGACTACCCTTCTGCCTCACTGCTCAGGTAATCATTTCAGCCACTATCTCAGAATTTATACCCTATAATCTTTCACCTCCCCACCTACTTGTCCACACGCCCTGCAGCGTCCTCATCATCGTTTCCTCTGTGTCTCCCGTAGTCTTGCTCAGTACTGCACTTTTCGTCCTAGATTCCAGTTGTAGTCTATTTGCTGTATATAACGTTACCTCCCTGTGTTCGCTTCTGTGCTAATGTCTGTTTTCTGGAATTCCGTACTCATACATTCGGAGGCTATCCCTATGGACGCATTTCCGTCACAGTTTTCCGTGTTTATGTCCGTTGTGGATTACCGACCTGCGTCTTGGCTTGGTTGGGTTTCGTCATTATCTTCTCAGTCGAGTAGTTTCATTTTCATTTTCTTGTCGCTTGCTTCTCCCATATACATCTTGCGGATTTTGATTCGATTCATTTCCTAGCTTATGTTGGGAAATCCATACGGCCATTCTTGCATCTTTATATCTGTAGATTTTTATTTATTTTATTTTATTTCATTTTCCTTTCCTCTTTGGATTTGTTATATATCAGTTCCTGTTCGATGCTTCCTCTGCTTCCAGATACTCACGGAATATATTCCGTACTTTTTATGTCCTTGCAGTTTCCGATGAAGGCCCAAAGATCGTCGTGCGGGTAATCCCACATGGGTAGTCCATCAGTCTGAGTTCCCTACAAAACAACTTTCTTACTGCGGTTAAATCTGCGACATTAAACGCGTTGGCTATCTGTGAAGCGTGCCAATTATCATCGTCAGTACTTCTGTTTTCTCGGAACCAGCACTCCTGAAGTGACGCAATGTCCTGAGAGAGAGAGAGAGAGACAGAGAGAGAGACAGAGACACAGAGAGAGAGAGAGAGAGAGGGAGAGAGAGAGAGAGAGAGAGAGAGAGAGGTGCTGGAGTAGATTGATTGATTGAGGTGTTAATAATTTCGTGATAGCAGAAATTGAAATTGTAGGGAATATACTCGTAGGATATCCTCCGACAAAAAACTGTGGGAAAAAAAAAATAAATATATATATATATATGTGGAGGGCAAAGAAGGTGATAGCAGGACAGGAATTGTTGCCTTGGTCGACGAACAACTCGACCTGCTTACGTAGCTCTCTCTTTTTTTATATTTGTCAGGTTAGCATTTTTTTGTCGGGACATTACTGAGCAAGTAATCCCGTGTGCTGGCCGAGCCTCGAAGAATCCATGGCGACGGCGTGGTTGGGGTAGGTGGGGGGATTGGACGTGAACCCACGTGGTCGATCAGCGTCTCCTTAGGAAGGACACTTTGCTGGACAGCCAAGGAGAATTTTGTCGCTCGCTCGCTAAAAAAACGGAAGGAGGATGCTGTGGTTTTGAAAAAGTCGAACGTTTTTCGCTTTCGTAGCACAATTTCCTTCATTGCAACCATTTATTTCGTTTTACTTGTGTATTTTTTATTAGGCTTTTTTTCGGGGAAAAGTTATAAAACCTCCCCGCGACGTGGGGGCTTTATAACTTTCCCCTTTCTTGTGTAATAGAATTACGTCTCTCATAGCAACGGTTCGATTTCGTTCTACAAGGGATTTTTGACGCTTCTTTGTCTGTAAGTTCTTGATTAGGCTTGAGAGAGAAGCGTGATCCTGCTGCAGGAAAGTCTGCTTATCTTCCCGCCTTTTTTACGGCAGGGAAAAAAAAATGACCGCAGCTTACCGCCAATTTCTTCCCGCCTTTTATTTTACTTGTGTTTTTTGTCACACTTCTTTTCTTTTCTTTTTTGTCTTTTTCTTGCGCTGGGTCCAGGCCAACCTTCCTTGTGTAGTTCCGATTTTAACGGATGTCCCCAAGGACATTTACCGCCAATTTTTTCCCGCCTTTCTACCCGAAATTTCGTCCTCTGATTACTGCCAATTTTCTTCCCGCCTCTCTTCTCGGACTTCTCGGAAAATTGACCGCTGAATCCTGCCCTTTTTTTTTCTTTTTTTTTTTTTTCTGCTAATTTTTCGTTCCCGCCTCTCTTCTCGGAAATTTTACGGTCGATTACCGCCACATTCTTCCCGCCAATTTCTTCCCGCTTTGTCTTGCCGCCGTCTTCCCTCCTTTATTCTCAGAAATTTGATCGTTGATTACTGCCCATTTAAGGGGTTTACGAGACCCTGACCTACATTTTAGCCACCCCCTTATGCTTGATGGCGCCTGCGTAGGGGTTTGGAAATCTCCGATCATTAACTAGTATAAATAAAACTAAAGCTTGGTGTGTCATAAGCTCCGGGACATTCAGAAACCCCGAGAGCCTATCCAGCAGGGCTCGAACTCTCTGCATCTGTTAATCAACAACTCCATCGATGTACTACTCACTGTATTCGGCCCGGGGGGAAAAAGCTCGACGTAGTCGGGTTCTGTGAGTCTACCATTGAGAAGGGAGAAGTCAGGCAAGTAGTCTACCTCCCCCCGAATCTTTGACGCTAAACCCGAATTTTGTTTTTAATTCACTACTGCCCCACCTACACTCACTTTGCCATTCGCTGTTTTTTTTTGTGCGTTTTTTTTGCTTTTCTTTTTCCAAAAAAGGGCAACGGTCTTTTCAGATATCGTCATTTGAAATGACCAGACCTAGGTGGTTCAAACTTGGCACCCGCTACCCAAGAGATAGACCACTGGATCCCCCGATCGGCATCAAGCAGAGTCTGCTGTGTTCGTAGGGGAGGGGCCTGAGGGGAGGCACGGGGGATTGGTCCGCTTTATCCCTGGTGCTACCGGCCGTCCCCTGGCCGGTATCCTGCAGGCTCGAGGGGCCGTAAAAACACGGCTCTGGTATGCTACGAGTTTCCCCGTATGCCAATAGGTAGGAGTAGTGGTAGGTAGGTAGTGTGAGGAAAAATTTGAGAGAAGAGTATAGTTTGAAAAAAAAAATAAAAAAAAATTGCAATATTTTACGCGTCTCCTTCATCTGCTTTGAGCGAAGGTCGAACTCAGGTCTGTATTTTAACAGTTCGGGCGTGTACCAACTGAGCAAGACCAGTTAGCAGACGGCCGCTGTACGCATATGGGATAAGATGGGTCACGGATCGAGGTCGGGTATGGCATGTTCGGGGCCAGGTCCCCGCACTAGCAACGTAGAGTTTCGTCAACGCCTGAATGTGGACGTGTTTGCGGAGATGTGCGGTTGAGGAAACTCAACCCGATTTCTGCCTATCTCCACAAACTCGTCCAGATTCAGGCTGCCAGTGCCACTCGGCCCCCGCTCTCTCTCTCTCTCTCTCTCTCTCTCTCTCTCTCTCTCTCTCTCTCTCTCTCTCTCTCTCTCTCTCTCTCT